GTTGGTTTTTCAAGAAAGACAAAGGGATAGAAAATGTGTTGAAGAGAAATTATAGGGTAAAAATGTCATTTTGCATCCACTAGAAGACAAAAATGTGGTAATTAGAGAAAATAATAAAAATAATGGCATATTTTGAAACAATTTTGGGAATAATAGCACATTAGGTAATTTTCACTATATTTTTTTAGGTTTATCGATTTTTTAATATTAATTTTCAAAAGTATATGTTCTTACATCTTGAATAAGTTTTCGATTTTAAAAAGCAAACAAAATTGAGTATTATCCACACATGATGTGGACAACTATCCATGGCAATGCTGTACTTTATATGTTATTCAAGCAGAGGGATGTTACATGCAGTTTAAGAAAACACAAACATTTTGGCAATACATAAAACAAAGGAACAGATTCATTTCATCAACTATAAAATATCCTTCTTTAAACAACATGATTAGCTGCGTGACGAGCCTAGTATGAGTCCCAACCTCCAACGACCCTTCTCCTCCGCCCGGATCTCTGTCTGAGCGCCCTTCCTCTCCTTCTCGAACTAAACCAAGGTATGTTAATGATTGTTTCCCATAACCATCTCCTTCTCCCCGTGACGGGACCTCACAGCGACAAGCTCAAGATCCTCTCCCAACTTAGGGTGGCGACACCTCCAGAAACCAAACCGCATTTACCCACCGGATCCAGATGCCCCACCGCAGTCATTGGTTTTAACCTCTGTTTCAGCGACTGCAAAACCACCTCTTTCATCAACCTCCTCCCTTCCCGCTACGGCTAAGATCTATCTCGATGCAGATGGATTCACCATCCACTGTGGTTATTTCACCCCATACCAAGTCGTCGGCTTCATCTCAGGCTCCGTTGACTACGAAAACCACCCCTCGCCGAGATTGGTAGAGTTCAATTCCACCTTCTTCCATCTTGTTGAGATTGGTAGTATATTCTTACCTCTCTTGCAGAGTGGTCGAATCCCCGAACTCTATGCCGAGATCTTCAAAGTCACATTGGAAAGTGACCAACCTGAGACTCTCCGGCTTTGCCGCGAAGACCATCTTGACGCATCCGAAGCATGATTTGGATTCACAGTCTATATTTTGCGATGCTATCTGCTTTATATTTTATTGCTTTTCAATTATGTTGTAGAAAGTTTGGAGGATGTTTAATTACATCCCTTTGTACTTTGATTGATTAAATGAATGAAATAGTTTGTTTGCCAAAAAAAAAAAAACACCATGATTTGTCTCATTACTTATTTCAAGCTGATCAGAATCTCTTTTTAAGTGTGACTTTAACCCCATGCTTCATGTGAAGGATAAGACCAGGGTCTGGCTGAATCTTCTTCCCTTTTACGACCTCAATGTCATAGTTTTGTAATATCTCCACAACCACTATTTTCAACTGATTCATAGCTAAATGCTTACCAAGACAAGCTCTTGGGCCAGCATTAAATGAAAAGAACTTGTAAGAAGACTCATGTCTTAATCCTCCAGTTCCGGAAACCCATTTATCTGGTTTAAACTCCAATGCTTCTTCTCCCCAAACCGCTCTCATCCTCCCCATCGCGTAAAGAAAGATCATGATCATTGAGTTTGCATCGACTTTATGCCCACTTGGAAGAACATCAGGTTTGATTGCTGACTTGCGTTGGAATGGAATTGGTGGGTAAAGCCTCATTGTCTCACACAATGCGCCATGTAAATACACCAACTTATTCAGCTCTACAGGATCATAAGACGGTCTCTCCTTACCACTGCCGGATCTTGGTAGATTTGTTTTGATCTATTGTACCTCGATATCATCGAAAATGCGGGAAAATCCGTCGATTTTCCGTCGGTTTTCCGTCGCAAATTTGTAATAAAACCACACCTTCTTCTTCGTTTACACCGAAGAAGCGAAATCAAAAAACAAAAAAAAACCCGCCGGAAAAGCTTGGAGACTCGCCGGAAAACGCATACAACATCAAATCCACCCACAATCTCAATCTCTATCAATATATCATCAATCCAATGTAAGTTTTTAGAAGTTTTTGTAAATTATCAATTATGAGATGTAT